TTTGCCTAGTGTCCTCAACCACTGCATTCCCAGAATGATATCCGAGCTGCCCAGCTCAAGAGGTAAGAAGTCCTCTTCTATCAACAGCCCCGGCAATTTCAGAGGTACTTGTCGGCATATACCGTCCCCTTTTACTGTTAAGCCCGTCCCCATGACTACCCCATAGTTTGCGGTGCCTGTCAATGGAAATCCCATCTGTTGGACAAAGTCTGCTGAAATAAAATTGTAGGAAGCACCACCGTCAACCAAAACTATCACTTCCTTTTGGCCGAGCATCCCTTTTAGCTTCATAGTACCTGGGGTGGTTAGCCCAACGACTGAGTTGATCGACAACTCTACAGGCTGTCCCAGACCGGGGGTCACTTCTGTAGCATAAACTGACTCACCGGCATTTGGCTCACCTTCGCTGGCCATGGCGGTGTCGGGTTCCTCATCATTGACTTCCATTTCCCGAATTACCAAAACCTGCAGCTCCTTATTCTTGCACCTATGGCCAATGGTAAATCTGTCATCACAACGATAACAGAGGCCTATCTCCCTCTTGGCCTATATTTCAGCGTCGGTCAGCCGTTTGTAGGGAATCGATGATTTGGGGAAAGAATTTGGGTGGTTTGGGGGGATGTTCAGAGGAACCGTAGTGTGTATTTGGGAGTGATGGGTGTGGGTCGGGTTCTTGAAGGATGATTGTGGTGGATTTGGGTTATGGAAGGGGATACTCTTTGGTTTAATAGGTCCAGCATTCCAGTGGGCTTGTTTAGTTACCATGTTTCGGTCCTCCACCATTTGGGCCACTTCCATTAGCTGCTCCAGGCCCAAGGGCCTTAACAACAGAACCTCAGCCCTGATATCTGGGTTTAACCCATTAAGGAAGCTGCATGTCAACACTTCCTCTGATATTCCCACTAACGGGGAAGCTAACGTCTCAAATTGCCGGCTGTAGTCACGAACGATGGAGCGTTACCCTAGGGATAAAAACTGAGCACACAGGGACCCCTCTTGAGAAGGTCGGAATCGACGCAGTAGCCGGATCTTCAACTCCTCCCAGCTATTCATAGCTAGACGCTTCTCCTCCCATTTGAACCAGGCTAGGGCTTCGTTGTTGAAGCATACCACAGCTGCCTCGACTTTCTCTTCTTCAGTCAATCGGTTGAGGGTGAAGTATCTTTCCACCCGAAACACCCACCCATCCGGATCATCCCCATCAAACACGGGCATCTCCAAACGTCGCACTCGCGGTTCCCCCCTCCAGTCACCTCCTGTTCCTCCGCCAGTACCTTGACTAAGGTCTTGCCGGAGTTGAGATATTCCCGAATCTGCAGTTTCTGTTGGTGATTTTTCGGAAGCCATCCCTTTCTCCTTTCGTCCCCTTTCCTGATTATCCCATGTTTTCATTAATAATTCAAATTTCTCCAACATCCTTGCATGCATTACTTTGAACTCAGATCTCATGGACTCAAGACCTGTCTGCAGCTCTTGATGATGGATTGCTACTTTCTGTTCCCCCCACTCGTTCTACAAGTGTCATGCTTATGGTCAAGGGTGCTCTGATACCAATTTGATAGATTCCAACCTATAAAAATTACCCAAGTGCCACGAAAAACGAGAAAAATAACACAGGAAATGAAAAGAAATGCTGAATTGATGTCTGGAACTGGAATTACAAGGATATGTAAAGGAAAAGAACAAGTGACCGATTGAGAGGACTGAGACTCTCCCTAACTGACCCACTCACTGAATTCTTGATATCTTCATCTATCCATCTTATTCTATTTATAGGCCCTTGTAACAGATTTTTGGCCACCTCACATCCCCACCTAACAGAATTAGTTACTGCCTCTCCTCTTGTTCCTTCTAGAATATGTATACGGAATTGGAGGCTTATCAATACTGTGTTTCGTTGGCTCGTTGGAATGTGTTATTACACAAGTTTCCACCAAAATTGATTTGTTAAAATAGATTCACAAGGATAATCAGCTATATTATTATCAAAGGCACCTTAGAAAAGATTGTTTATAAGTTCATTTACATTAGGTTATTCAATTTTCTTTCTAGGTACGACCTATATACTGGTATTTATGGTATGGATTTTCTACGTTGTATTGGAGCCCTGGTTATCATGTGGGACATTGTCGTAGATGCAAGTATCGTGTTGAAATCCCACACAGGGTAGCAAAGTAGGACAGAATGAAGTGGGTCTAGGTGAAAAATGTAGGGTGTCTCCTCAATACATCCTCCAATATTGCGACTTAGTTTGAGAGCACCATTCGGCTATCCCCACCAAGGCTCATAAAATTTTATGCATTCTGTAGATCAAGATCAGTAACATTTGAGGTCAAAGTTTTGGAGAAGTGCAGTGATGTGTTTTGCTGATATTTTTTTCTGATTCAAATTTTTCTCTTTTCATGAGATGAATTTCTATGACTTATCATATTGATATTGTTTTCTCTATTGATACTGTTTTTTCTCTAGAAACCACCATAATAACGAGTATTTATTTATGCTAAAAGGAAAACAACATACAAGTTAGAGAAATTTAACGAGTCTAACACGAGACCTATAATTAAAGATAAAAAAAGCCGTCACTAAAAATCATGTGTTCTAGAAATGCTTTGCTTCATCATACTTTGAGTTTGATAATCACCAGACTCTTCGTAAATAACTGGTTTTCATAGGACAAGTTTTTTTTTTCCTTGTTGTAGAAATAACTTATAGGCAATACTAAAAAACTTCTTTTGAACTTGCAAGCGCTTAGCTAAAGAATTAAAATTTAGAGTTATTTGTAATCATAAAACCTTTCTTCTATAAAATGAAAATTTAAAGCCATATTTTGCCTTACGTAACATAAAAGTTTTGATGAGATTCAAATTTTAGCTACTTCTATTTTTTCTTAAAATATCTACTTCTTTATAAATTAGTGAAGAAAGAAATCTCAAAATTCGAGTTCTGAGTAAAAATGCGGGGTATTGGTAAACAATGCAGTCTTTAAAATTTAAATAATTCTTTTGGATTATTTGTAGAATGTTGCTTTCATTCATGGAAAAACTTTCACAAATTCCACAATGAAGAAAAGAAAAATCAACACACCCAATTGATTTCTCAAGTTTGATAGTCAACCAAATTTTGTTTTATTATTGGAAGAAGAGGAGTCAATGATTAATGGAGTGATAAGCACCACTCCCTTCAGGTGAAATCTACGTGAAAATATAGGGTATTGATGGACAATGAAGCCTCTAAAAGTTAAATAATTCTTTTGGATTATTTTATGATTGAAACTTTCATTCGTGGAAAAACTTCCACAATTTTCACAATGAAGAAAAACTTTCACAATTTCCACAATGAAGAAAGAAAAATATATGCACACAATGAATTTCTTGAATTTGGTATTCAAGCAAAATTTGATATATTTTTGGAAAGAATGGAGTCCACGATTAACGGAGCAATAAGCAGCACTCCTTTAAGCTGAAATCTACGTGAGAATATGAGGTATTGGTGGACAATAAAGTCTTTAAAAGTTAAATAATTCTTTTTAACTATTTATAGAATGCAATTTTCATTCGTTGAAAAACTTCCACAATTTTCATAATGAAGAAAGAATAATATATGTACCCAATGATTTCTCGAGTTTGGTAGTCAGGCAAATTTTATTTTATTTTTGGAAAGAAGTGGAGTTCAAGATTAATGGAGCGATAAGCACCACTCCTAAAAGATGAAATCTACGTGAAAATGTGGGATATCGATGGACAATGAAATATCTAAATGTTAAATAATTCTTTTGGATTATTTAAAGTACGTATCTTTCATTTGTGGAAGAACATCCACAATTTCCGCAATGAGTAATAACTTCCACAATATCCACAATGAAGAAAAACTTCCATAATTTCCAAAATGAAGAAAGGAAAAATCCATGCACCCAATGGATTTCCCGAGTTTGGTAGTTAGGCATATTTTATTTTATTTTTGGAAAGAAGTGGAGTCAACAATTAATGGAGCATTAAGTAGCACTTCCTTAACATGAAATTCAAATGAAATTATGGGGTATTGGTAGATAATGAAATGTCAAAAAGTTAAATAGTTCTTTTGCGTTATTTATATAATGCAACTTTCGTTCGTGGAAAAATTTCCACAAAATGAAGAAAAACTTTCACAATTTCCACATGAATATGGAGAAACTTTCACAATTTCAACAATGTGGAAAAGAAAAATCTATACACCCAATGAATTTCTCGTGTTTGGTAGTCAAGCAAATTTTGTTTTATTTTTAGAAGAAGTGGAGCCCACAATTAATGAAGATATAAGCACCATTGCTTTAGGATGAAATCCACATGAAATTGTGAGGTATTGGTAGACAATGAAGTCTCTAAAAGTCGAATAATTCTTTTGGATTATTTATAGGATTCAACTTTCAAATGTGAAAAAACTTCAACAATTTCCACAATGAAGAAAAACTTTCATTATTTCTAGAATAAAGAAAAGAAAAATATGTGCACATTTTCCGAGTTTGATAGCTACGCAAATTTTATTTTATTTTTGGAAAGACGTGGAGTTCATGATTAATGGAGCAATAAGCACCACATCCTTGAGATGAAATCCAAGTGAAAATGCAGGGTATTCGTGGACAATGAAATATCTAAAATTTAAGTAATTCTTTTGGACTACCATTTCATTCGTGGAAAAACTTCCACAATTTTCATAATGAAGAAAAGAAAAATCTATGCACTCGATGGAATTGTCAAGTTTGGTGGTAAAGCAATATATATATTTTTTTTTATTGTTTTTTGAAAAAAGTGGACTCCATGATTAGTGGAGCAATGATGAGCACCATTCCCTTAAGATGAAACCCAAGCACTACTCTCAACCTCAGCCAATCTTGTACACTTATCTTGCAAGAAGCTTTTAATTCATATAAATAATATCAAACACCTAATTACAGTCACCTCCCACTCTTCTTTATGCATTTGAAATTAGCCATGGGAAAAAATGCGATCTTTACGTTGCTAACAATGCTTTATTTGCTCATCTACGTTGTTGTGTCTCTCAATAGTTCCACTGATGAGTATGCTCTTCTAGCCTTCAAATCTCAAATTTCTGATCCAAATAAAATTTTGGCCAACAATTGGTCACAAGAAACCTCTTTCTGTGATTGGATTGGTATTACTTGCGGTAGGAGACATCGAAGAGTTAGAGGCTTACGTTTAACAAATATGGGCATGCGAGGTACTATTGCAAAAGAGATCGGTGAACTCTCCTTTTTGAGATCCTTGATTATTAGTAACAACAATTTCCAAGGATTTATCCCTGTTGAAGTGGGTAATTTGAACCAACTTCGAGAAATAGAGATGCAGTACGATGAGTTAAATGGTTCTATTCCATTAAGTTTTGGATTTCTTGTAAATCTACAGAAGTTAAATATCTCCGGTAACATACTCAGTGGCGATATTCCTAACAAGATTTTCAATGTCTCTTCTTTGATAGATATTGGTTTAGGAAACGATAGTCTCTATGGAAGTCTTCCCTAGGATATCTGTACCAATCTTCCAAAGCTAAAGAAGCTAAGAATTTCAGATAATCAAATAACTAGCAACATTTACCAAGCTTGGGAGAAAAAGGAAAATGGGGAAATGCTGAGTCCAATAATCCTCAAGTTCTTGTACCCACCGTTTTTTATTCAGTATTTTCATATAGTTTTACGTTTTGTTACAATTATTTTACAGGTCTTGAAACAACTTAGTGGACAAAGCCCTGTTTTCTGCAAGGGTATTCTCGAATTGTTGCTTAGATATTTTTATTCATTATGCTCTTTTTAATTTTTTGGAACAAATTATTCTTTTTTCTATTAAATTAACTTTAGAACTGATATGAACGAGATTGGCATTTTCTTTTTAAATTTCTTTAAAGGAAATTTGATAATGGTTATACTTGTCTTTGTTATTATAGTTTGAAAATTGTTTACTTTGTATTGGTAGTTTGGTATTATGCTATTAGCCAGACAGATAATGTATGTTTTGATGTTATTGTTTGATCAATTTCTTTGAAAATTTGATTACTTGAAATGGAGTTAGTCTCTTGTTAACCTTCCAAAGGTGAACTTAGGATACCTATGTCTATTGAGCATTCTCTTTTTTTGTAACCTTTCCTATTTTTCATTTCTGAAGTAAATGAAAAAGAGGAATTACCTGCTGTGCAAGGTAGTGAGAGCAAAGGACAAAACTTTTCTTTTAGATTTCTTGAGGTCTCACATCATTAGTAAACAGTTAACAACTCTGTACCACCCTAGGGTTGGTTAGAGTATATACAGACCAATCTTGTTGATCATCACATTTTGATTGTGCATATGGCTTCTTTCTTTTTCTCATTGTGGGCATTGTGATGAAGCATTTTTTGCAATCTATCTTGTTCATTCAATGGAGCTTTATAAAACCTGGGTAGAGCAGGCTTTTGATGGAGCTGACCATTTTAAAATGGATATACTGGACATTTCATTCCTCGTTATGTAAATGGTCTTTTAAACAAAAATAAATAAATTAAAGAGGGCCTTTTGGATTTCCATCTTAAAAAATAAGGACTGAAGAAATGTTCTATTTTTGGTCGACTGACATATCCTCCTGATCAAAATTGTAATTATTGATTGCTTGGTATAATAATATCGTTCATAAAAGTTTAAAATATGCTTCTCATTTGAAATTCACCGTTCTGCTCGCTCACTAAGTTGATTTCTAGTGAGTGGATATTGCTTAGGATCATGTAAGGACAGAGCAGTGGTTCATGTCTATTATCTCTCTGCTTTCTTACATAATTTAGGAAAATGTATGAAGAAAAAAAATTGAGTTATAGTTATTTTTCTTTTTTCGTTGACAGCAAGAAACACTGTTAGATCCTTTGGAAACAGGCATAATGAAAAGATTGCGTGCTATGTCATAGTAAGGGGTGACAAGGTAATGCAACTCTTTGAAAGTGGATTGAAGGTTAAGGAATATGAACTGTTGAGGAGGAACTACAGCGCTATGGTTGTTTTGGCTCTAGCATTCAATAACAATTTGATCTTGGGATCAAGTGGATTTATTCTATAAGATGACTCTATGAAATGCTCTTGGTTATGCCAAAACTTTTTGATGATGCTGGATTCATGCAAATTTTTCTAGATTTATTTGAATTCTTTGTTACTGTTACCATGGATGTGTGATGTTTTTAACTGTCATGTGATCATTACAATTCTGCTTTGCATGTTTGTGATGCATCGAGATATATTTGTATATTTATTTAGATTAGAACATCTGACTTCACATTCTATCCCCCCCCCATCCACACGCCCTGAATGCAATGATGTGGAATCTAATTTGCATTAAATCGTTAGTTGCTTTGAATTTTTACTTCATGTGGATAATTAAGGTGGCTTACTGTTTCTTGTCATTAGATCTTTTTCAGATTCCCAAAAACCCTTGTTGGGTCAATACAGTGTTTCGTTGGATAGTTCGTTACACTATGTTATGTGCAAAACTGATTTGTTAAAATAGATATTCACAAGGATAATCAACCACAGTATTCTCAAAGGCTTTTTAAACGAGGCTGTTTATAAGTTCATTTACATTGGGTTTATTCACTATTCTTTCCAAGTACGACCCATCAACTGGTATTCATGGTATGGCTTTATATGTTGTCTTGGGGCACCCTAGTTATCGTGTGGGACATTGTCATAGGTGCAAATCTCGTGTTGGAATCCAGCACTGGGTAACACAGGAAGATGCAGTGAAGTTGTTCCAGGTGAAATATGAAGGTGTAATCCTCAACTAGTCCTCCAATATTGCGACTTAGTTTGAGAGCACCATTCAGCTAACCCCACCAATGTTTGTAAAATTTTATGCATTTTGTAGACCAAGATCAGTAACATTTGAGATCAAAATTTTGGAGAAGTGCAGTAATGTGTTTTGCTAATATTTTTTTTTTATTCACTTTTTACTCTTTTAATGAGATGAATTTATATAACTGATCTGATTGATGCTGTTTTCTCTATTGATACTACTTTTTTTCCTCAAGAAACCACCATATATAATATAACGAGTATTTATCTATGCTAAAGGGAAAAATGTAAATGACAACTAGACCCCATGGAAAATGACATACGAAGTAGAGAAATTTGACGAGTCTAACACTATACTTGAAATTAAAGATAAAAATGCCATCACTCAAAATCATGTGTCCTCGTAAAGCTTTGGTTCATCAATGTTGCTTCATCATGCATTGAGATTGATAATCTCTAGACTCCTCATAAGTAATTGTTGTCCTCATAGGACAAGTTTTTTCCTGTTGTAAAAATGGCTTATAGGCAATACTAAAAAAATCTTTTGAACTTGCATGCACTTAGCTTAAAATGAAAATTCATGCTATATTTTGCCTTGCATAACATAAAGTTTTGATGAGATTCATATTTTAGCCACTTCTATTTTCTTAAAATGTCTACTTCTTTATAAATTAGTGAAGAAAGAAATTTGGGGTCTCTACGTGAAAATGAGGGGTATTGATAAACAATGAAGTCTTTAAAAGTTAAATAATTCTTTTGAATTATTTGTAGAATGTAGCTTTCATTCGTGGAAAAACTTCCACAATTTCCATAATGAAGAAAAGAAAAATCTATGCACCCAATAGATTTCTCAGGTTTGATAGTCAAGCAAATTTTATTTTATTATTGGAAGATGTGGAGTCAACGATTAATAGAACGATAAGCACCACTACCTTAAGATGAAATATACGTGAAAATCTGGGTATTAGTGGACAAAGAAGTCTCTAAAAGTTAAATAATTCTCTTGGATTATTTATAGAATGGAACATTCATTCGTGGAAAAACTTCCACAATTTCCACAAGGAAGAAAAACTTTCACAATTTACACAATGAAGAAAGAAAAGTATATGCACCCAATGAATTTTCGAGTTTGGTAGTCAAGCAAATCTTGATATATTTTTGGAAAGAACGGAGTCCATGATTAACGGATCCATAAGGAGCACTCCCTTAAGATGATAACTACATGAAAATGTGAGCTATTGGTGGACGATGAAATCTCTAAAAGTTTAATAATACTTTTGAATTATTTATAGAATGCAATTTCAATTGTGGAAAGCTTCCACAATTTCCATAACGAAGAACGAAAAATCTATGCACCCAATTGATTTCTCAAGTTTGGTAGTCAAGCAAATTTTATTTTATTTTTGGAAAGAATTGTTCACGATTAATGGAGCAATAAGAACCACTCCCTTAATATGAAATCTACATAAAAATGTGGGATATTGGTGGACAGTGAAGTCTCTAAACATTAAATATTTCTTTTGGATTATTTAAAGAAAGTAACTTTCATTTGTGGAAAAACTTCCACAATTTCCACAATGAGTAATGACTTCCACAATGTCCACAATGACGAAAAACTAAGTCAATTTCCACAATGGAGAAAAGAAAAATCTATGCACCCAACGGATTTCTCGAGTTTGGTAGTCAAGAAAATTTTATTTTATTTTTGGAAAGAAGTGGAGTTCAAGATTAATGAAGCATTTAGTAGCACTCCCTTAAGATGAAATTTACATGAAATTATGGGGCATTGGTGGACAATAAAATCTCTAAAAGTTAAATAATTATTTTCGAATATTTATAGAAGGCAACTTTAATTAGAGGAAAAAATTTTCATAATGAAGAAAAGAAAAATCTATGCACTTGATGGAATTGTCAAGTTTGGTAGTCAAGCAATATTTTTTTTTTATTGTTTTTTGAAAGAAGTGGACTCCGTGATTAGTGGAGCAATGATGTGCATCATTCCCTTAAGATGAAACCCAAGCACTACTCTTAACCTCAGTCAATCTTGTACACTTATCTTGCAAGAAGCTTTTAATTCATATAAATAATATCAAACACCTTATTACAGTCACCTCCCACTCTTCTTTATGCATTTGAAATTAGCCATGGGAAAAAATGCGATCTTTACGTTGCTAACAATGCTTTATTTGCTCATCTATGTTGTGTCTCTCAATAGTTCCACTAATGAGTATGCTCTTCTAGCCTTCAAATCTCAAATTTCTGATCCAAATAAAATTTTGGCCAAAAATTGGTCACAAGAAACCTCTTTCTGTAATTGGATTGGTATTACTTGCGGAAGGAGACATCGAAGAGTTAGAGGCTTACGTTTAACAAATATGGGCTTGCGAGGTACTATTGCAAAAGAGATCGGTGAACTCTCCTTTTTGAGATCCTTGATTATTAGTAACAACAATTTCCAAGGATATATCCCTGTTGAAGTGGGTAATTTGAACCAACTTCGAGAAATAGAGATGCAGTACTATGAGCTAAATGGTTCTATTCCATCAAGTTTTGGATTTCTTGTAAATCTACAGAAGTTAAATCTCTCCGGGAACATACTCAATGGCGATATTCCTAACAAGATTTTCAATGTCTCTTCTTTGATAGATATTGGTTTAGGAAACAATAGTCTCTCTGGAAGTCTTTCCTCGGATATCTGTACCAATCTTCCGAAGCTAAAGAAGCTAAGAATTTCAGAAAATCAAATAACTAGCAACATTCCTCCAAGCTTGGGAACATGCTCAAATCTTGAACTACTTTCTCTATCGTTCAATAATTTTGCTGGTAACATTCCAATGGAAATCGGGAACTTGTCAAAGCTTCAAACACTCTATCTAGGAAGCAATAATTTGATAGGTATGTTTAAAGCATTGTTTTTATACATACATCTTCTAAAACACTCGAAAATGCTTTCCCAGAATTGTGAAAATGGATCAACATTGTTGTTCGTTCACATCATAAATGCTTCTAGATGCATACTTATGAGCATGTTGCCGCCCATGGAATATGTCTTGTACATAGCTAAACTAAAATTTAAGTATGCACTCGCAACTCCGAACACCTACTAAAAAAGAATAAAAATAAATAAAAAACCAACCTTGATTCACGCACTTGTAGAACTCATGATTAGTTGTTTGCTAACATATTCTTGATTGCAATGAATAGGATGAAGAACTAGCATAGATGTAATGGTCTTAGAAAAATTAAGATAATATAAGAAATAGGAAACACCTTATTATGCCTTGACTTAGCCAAGAAACACGTGGGCTCATAGAACTTGAGTTTTAACATCGATGCTTTGTCATGCCTTGCACCTTTTAGAACTTGAGTTACAATATATATATTATTAGTAGATTATTGACTCTAGATTAGTTGGTTACTTCTTTTCCTCCATTAGATCTATCTCATGTTACTTTAACATTTTGTATTTTAACATCGATGTCTAAATGGATTGACAGGAACTATTCCAAATGAACTTGGAAACCTACCATCACTTGTAGAACTAGATTTGAGTTTTAACGGCTTGAGTGGTAAGTAACTAGATTTCTTGAACTTATTTTACATATTAAGTCCATTTCAATTTGTTATTCTGTCCGTGTTTGATCTAGATTTCTAGCAAATAGAGTTGATAAAAGCTGATGAATTTTATTAAATGCATGATTAAAAATGGATAAAAACTATGAATGAAATGAAATGCACGTTAAAAATGAAGTTTGACCAATTTTTTAACAAATAATAGTTAAACCAAAAAGCCCTTAGTATCTTACTAAAGGTTTATACAAAACTCTAAATTTTAGCCTCCGTTTGACAAAATTATAAATCATTTATAAATTGTCAAACTTCATTTATAAATTGGAGAAGTGCAGTGATGTGTTTTGCTAATATTTTTTTTCCTTATTCACATCTTCATCATACACGAAGTTTCATAATCTTTATACTCTTCGTAAGTGTCATTGGTTTCCTCACGAGACAAGCTTTTTCACTTAAGAATGGCTTATGGGCAATATTAAAAAACTTCTTTTGAACTTATCAGCACTTGGCTATAGAACTAAAATTAGAGTTATCTGTAGCCATAAAAACCTTGTATAAAATGAAAATTCAAGCTATATTTTACCTTACGTAGTATCAAACCATAAAGGATTTACAATTTTTTAGTTTTATTGTTGGAAAGAAGTGGAGTGCACAATTAATGGAGCTATAAGCATCACTCCTTCAAGATGATATCTAAGTGGAGGGTATTGGTGGATAATCAAGTCTCAAAATGTTAAATAGTTTTTTTGGATTATTTAGAGAATGCAACTTTCATTCGTGAAAAAATTGCCACAATTCCACGATAATAAAAAATCTAAGCATCCAATTGATTTCTTAGAGTTTAGTAGTCAAGCAATTTTTATTTCAATTTTGGAAAGAAGTGGTGTCTACAACTAATAGAGGAATAAGCACCACTCCCTTGAGATAAAAATCCCAAACAGACTCTTAACCATAGATTACATTGTACACTTATCTTGCAGGGATCGTTTATTTCATATAAAATATACACTTACAATTATATCAAACACCTTATTACAACCACCTCCCAATCTTCTTTGTGGATTTAAATTAGCCATGGAAAAAAATGTAATCTTTACGTTGCTGTATATGCTTTATTTGCTTATCTACGTTATTGAATTCCTCAATACCTCTAGCGATGAGTATGCTCCTTTGGCCTTCAAATCTCAAATAATATCCGATCCAAATAAAATCTTGGCTAAAACTTGGTCACAAAGAACCTCCTTCTATAATTGGATTGGTATTACTTGCGACGGAAGACATCAAAAGGTTAGAGGCTTACATCTAACAAATATGGGCTTGCGAGGCACTATTGCAGAAGAGGTCAACGAACTCTCTTTTTTGAGATTCTTGATTATTAGCAATAATAGTTTTGAGGGATTTATTCCTAATGAAGTGAGTAATTTGAGCCAACTTCAAAAAATGGAGATGCACTACAATAATCTAAACAGTTCCTGTAACGACTCGGGTCTCTTTTACCCAATCCGTTAGCTTACGTACTGTCCGCTCTGAGTGGGCCTTGCACCCACTTACCCCTCACAAATTTCTATCGCGTTTCCCAAGATTCGAACTCATAACATTTCCCTTAAGTAAGACTTAAGTTGAATCCTGGTACCAAGTGGGCAAGTTGCTTTCTTTGTTATCATGCTTCAATATTTTCTCTTCTTGGACACAGCGTGAGATGGGCTCATTAACGGACCATGAGTCCTTTTGATAGTTGTAGTTTACCTTGAATTAACTTAAATGTGCTGAAAGGGATATCAGAACCAAGCATACTAACAAGTCTTAAGATAAATCTAACTTGAGTACCTTTAGTTTTGAAGCAAAATGAGATATTTCCATAATGTATTCCCGTATTTTTTCTTTCCCTTTGTAACTGAATGAGATAAAATTTGCCAAAAGTGTATTAGTTTCAGCATTTTCATTCTTGACAGAGCTCTTCGCAAGGTCTTCAAGGAAACCCTTTGTCGTGGTCACCTCATTGAAAATAATGCCCCGGAATGCTTTTGGAATAGCACACTTTATAACCGTTAAACTTATACGGTTCAACTGTTCCCATTTTTCTATCTCCCTCTTTTCATAAAAAGTACTCTTATCAATAAGTGCAGCAGGTTAATCGACCCCTAAAGCAAGGTCCAGGTCCATGACTCCGAGAATAATCATCACATTCTCTTGCCACGCCTTATAGTTGGTGTCATTAAGTATTGGAATTGAATTGATGCTAGCAGAGATATTAGCAGCAGAACCTAAAACTGAATCAGAGAACAATTAATTGGAATGGCCCACATAAATATCCTCAATATGCAAATAATAATAATCTCAAATAATGGTAATGCCCATCACAAGATACCTAGCACAACATCAATATCTAGTCTTTGACAGAAATATTGACTTATAAGTAGTACTCTTGGTATAGTGATCAAACACTGACAATAAGATATGTCAACCAATAAACATTTCTTTGGATCGATTTATTGATCACTCGTGAAACTAAATAATCGCCACGGGTGCATATGGAATTCAGCCAAATATTAACCTTTCTTTGGGCTAATCAATACTCCCGTGAATATAACACACATACACACAAATACCTTTTAATATTCTAAGTTAATTAATTTCCACAAGAAAGGTTTCTTTAACAACATGTTGCTTCAATTAATTTACTTTCGAATATTATACCACTCAAAAGAGTCCTTAGTACCAAAATTTGAGAAAGAAAATCACTAATTTTGCATATTTTACTAATTTGAAACTTTAAGGACCTAAGGGTTAATAATCCAAAACTTTAGGAGGCAAAAATTAACCAATTCAAAACTTTATGGGCCAATTTGAAAAAATTAGAAATTTTGTAATTATGAGGAATTAAATTACAAAATTTAGAACTTTAATGACCCAAAATAATCAAATTTTTAAGCATCAGGGACTGAATTATTAGACTAGAACTTTAAAAGCCCAATTTCGATTAACTTTAAACTTTATGGGGCTGAAACTTTAAAATTGTAGCCCTAACCCTAGATATAAAATTACAAGGGCCTGAAATAATATAAATTGTAACTTAATCCCCACCCCCAAAAATTCACCCAAACCCTAGCTACGCTGGGGGAAGGGCCCCTTACAGTAGCGCTGCTGCTGGAAAAGAATTCCCTCTTTTTTAACTTAAAATTCGTAATCTAAAGTTTCTCAAACATTTAATCCGAATTGTGGAAGACTACAACAAAAAAAATGCCACAAAAGTTTTCAAATTCAACAAAATATAGATCCGGAATTCTTTAATTAAAAGCATTGAAATTATCACAAGAATTAAATTAAAATTTCGATTCTCAACGATTCAATATGAAAGTGGCTCTGATACCACTTGTAGGAAAACTATTACTGTCAAAATAGCCAGATTTATCATATTGGATCATCAAGAACGCATGAACTAAAGCAAAAGCATACCTGAATTTGATATGGTTAATGCAATAATTGAATCTTGCGGTTTAGTCTTCCAAATCAACACATAGCTCCTTTTTCTCTCTACTGATGTGATCCAGAATAGAATGAGCAATACATGTGATTTGGGGACCATAACCGTGTTTATATACTGACTGCTTGTTCAGCTCATCATGAAGTAAGGAACAATGGCCCCATCTCTACACATAAAAACCCACACTTTAATTAGATGCATTAAAGCCTAAAATATCAATACCTTATTAGATCACTTTAACTGGGTTTAACAAAATTTGATAGCCTTTAATTTAATACACAATAATTCTCATATAAGCTCACATGATCGATTAAAAATCGTTACAATGTCCTTGTACATAGCTACACTAAAATGTAAGGATGCATTCACAACTCAAAACACATACTTTAACAATAAATAAATAAACAAACAAACTTGAAGCCTGCACTTGTAAAACTCATGGTTAGTTGTTTGCTGACTTATTTTAATTGCAATGGCTAGGATGATGAACTTAAATAGATGTTAGAAATAGGAAAATACCTTATTACGCTTAGGCTTAGACAAGGTAGGTGTGGGCTCGTAAAACTTGATTTTTTACCTTGCGGCTTTGTCATACCTCGTGCCTTTTAGAACCTTCATATAAAGAATTAAAGATGTCATCACATGCTCTTTCGAAAAAAAAATGATGCAACATTCAATATGACTTGGTGGTACAATAAATAAAATTTGAAATGTTTTTCCTTCATCAAATGTGGAATAAACCCACATTACATAGCATAACGATAATAGGCTACATATTGACAAAAAAAAAATTAGCAGATGGAATGATAGCTCCATCCATATCAATTAGTTCTTTTACTCTCATTAAATTTGGGTAAATATCAAGTTAGTAATTGTTAAAGGGTTACTATGTGTCTATGCACTATGTGATTATAAGGCATGCTTTATAGTAGACTTACCTCCAACCATTTTCATTATCTCTTCTTTACTGTCGATGTCAACAGAGATAATGAAATTTCAGGGAAGTAATTTCCTTTGCTGAATTTCATGGACAGATACTTTGAAGTACGTTGCAGTGTCTACATTGCAGTGTCATACACTTCAAACTCTTCATATTTATAACAATGAATTCGGTGGTACTATTACATATTAATCTTATCATCACTTCCAAGTATTCAATTATTAGATCTGAGTCTAAATAACTCTTCTTAGGTACTTAAAAGTTCTCAAAGTTCTCCAAATTGCAAGTTATCTTATCTGTCATTCCGCCACTCCCCATTTTAAACTTAACAAACTTGATGAACATATCAAAATTCACATTCATTATTATTTCTACCATGTTATCTAGTCCCTTAAATTTTAAAAATGGTGAGTGACCGATTTAATAACTTTTTTTATAAGTTTAGGAACAACTTGGAGAACTTTTAAAGTTCAACGAAACAGTGAAACTTTTTGTAAAGTTCAGTGGCAACTTAGACAACTTTTATAGTTCCGTGGTAATTGGAAAAAAAAAATTGAGAAAGGTCAAAGGAAATTGAGATAGTAAACCCGTATCTTATTATATTTAATTATTTATTAGATTTAGTTTTTGTATTTATAAAAATTTGTTAGTTTGACAACCTATGATGCAATTTCTGTTATGGTCAGTGATTAGGGTTTTTTCATTTGTTTCAAAGATGCCTTGTTCTTTTGAGTATTTTGATTAAAAATTAAAAACTTGAAAGAGTTTTTCTTCTACAATTTTCCAACCTAAATTGGTATTAGGCGGAATAAGTGATTTGTTGATTTAGATTAATTATTCGATATTCGATTACAATTCAACGAATTATTTATTTTCTAAATTCATTCGAATTCTAAGGATCAAGGGGTTTTTTATTCTTCATTTTAATATAGTGTTTGCTTGTGCTGTGAGAGTTTGTTTATTTAATATGTTCTAAATTTAATTATTTACGTCATTCTAAAAACAAACTTATTTTAGTAATAAATATTTGAGTCACTGATATTTGAGTATAATAAATTGATATTTAAATAAACTAAATTATTTGTAATTCCAATTTTTTTGTTTGCTAATAACTTTTTGAAATTTCAAATTTTTGAATTTTGAATTTCTATTTTTAATATCCTGAAATCTATTCACAGGAAGCATTCCATATGAAATTGGAAACTTGTCAACACTTCAAGGTTTATATATGAGTTCGCTCATCTTGACAGGTACCTATCTACTATTTAATACTACTTTTAAGATTCAGTTTAGTGTCTCGAAAAACACAAAATTACAGGTACAATTCCGAATTCAATTAGCAGTTTGTCAAATTTGGAGGCTTTGCTTGTTGGAAACAATAGTCTTCATGGTCAGATACCTCAATCCATCTTCAATCTCTCCATGTTGCAAGCACTTAGTTTTGCAAAAAATAATATCTCCGGCAATTTTCCATTGTCAATAGCCAATGGGCTCCCTGATCTCGAACTTCTCTATTTTGATATCAATAGATTGAGTGGAGAAATTCCTGACTGGATTTCAAATTGTTCTAAGCTTATTATATTGGAGCTTAGTCATAACTTGTTCAGTGGACATGTACCAATTAATCTTGGGAATTTACAAGACCTTCAACGTCTAAATTTAGGTGCTAATCTCTTGACAAATGATCCTTCAATGTTGGAATTGGATTTTCTACCTTCATTGACAAATTGTAGATACTTGGAGAAGCTATGGATTGGTGAAAATTTTTTTGATGGAATGCTTCCAAAAGCTTTAGGTAATTTTTCGACATTTCTTCAAGAATTTGATGTTAATGATTGTGGCATCAAAGGTATGATTACAAGTGGAATTGGCAATATGAGAAACTTGGTCTGGCTAGGAATGGGAGGCAATGAGTTCACAAGAGAAATTCCTGACACGTTGAGCCAATTGAGGATGTTGCAAATGTTGGAGCTTGATGACAATAACCTGCACGGGTCAATACCTGACAACCTTTGCAATCTGGTGAATCTTTATCACCTAGTTTTGGAGAATAATCAACTCTCTCAAAAGCTACCAACTTGTCTAGGAGATCTTACTTCTTTACGAAAACTTTATTTAGCTAACAATTCATTGACTTCAACCATTCCATCCACACTATGGACTAACAAGGAAATTCAAATAATAGATTTGTCATATAATTTTCTCAATGGTTCGCAGGTTCCAGAAATCGGCAACATGTTCAGGATGAGAGAGTTATATCTATCAGGAAATTAGTTCTCAGGTGAGATTCCAAGCACTATTGGGAAACTTCAGAATTTGGTATATCTAACATTGTCAAACAATCGATTAAATGGTTCTACACCTGAGTCGTTTGGTAATTTGATTGCTTTGTAAAGTTTGGATCTGTCTAATAACAATCTCAATGGTGTAATCCCCGTGTCAATTGTAAAGATGAAGTATCTTGAGTATTTCAATGTTTCGTTCAATGATCTCAGTGGTGAAATTCCAAATGGAGGGCCTTTTAAGAACTTTACATCAGAATTTTTTATAAACAATAGAGAATTTTGTGGTGCATCTCAATTTAAGGTCAAGCCATGCAAATCTAATAGAACTAGATTATCTAGCAAGACCACAGTTTTGAAGTACATTTTACCATCAATTGCTGTGGTATTGTGTCTTGCCATTAGTGTAGCTTATTTAATAAGATGCCGTAGTAGAAATACACTTCTTGCAGCTCAGTCTACTTCCCCTATCACCATCAAGAGGATTTCATATGATGAAGTTCTAAACGCTACGAATAATTTTGGTGAAGAGAATCTGATTGATAGAGGTAGTATTGGTTCAGTGTACAAGGGTATATTTTCAGATGGAATGATCGCTGCTATTAAGGTTTTCAATATAGATTTGGAAGGTGCAAATAGGATTTTTGATACAGAGTGCCAAATACTAGGCAAAATTCGTCATAGAAATCTTATCAAGGTAATTACCAGCTGCTCTAATCTTGATCTTAAAGCCTTGGTGTTGGAATATATGCCGAATGGAAACCTTACCAAATGGCTGTCCTCGAGCAACTATTTCTTGAATATAGCTCAAAGGTTAGAAATAATGATAGATGTGGCATGTGCACTGGAGTATCTACATCATGGGTATCCCTCTCCAATTGTCCATTGTGATTTGAAACCCAACAACATACTTTTAGGTGAAGATATGGTTGCCCATGTTGCAGACTTTAGCATTGCCAAGCTTTTCTCTGAAGACCAGAGAATTTCGATGAGCAAGACATTGGGCACCATTGGATATATGGCTCCAGGTAAATGGTTCTGTCACCTATTTATGTATTGAGTTAAATAATATATACATAATTATTCATAAATGTTAATCGAATTGTATATTAATATGTCATTTATCATTTCACATGCTAATTTGATCATTTATGCCAATTTTTTAGAGTATGGATTGGCAGGAGTAATATCGTCTATGGCAGATGTTTATAGCTATGGGATTGTATTGATGGAAACATTTACCAAGAAGAAGCCAACAGATGATTTGTTTGTTGGAGAGTTCACCATGAGGAGATGGGTGTTTGAATCATTTCCAGATACAATAATGGATATAGTGGATGTGGATCTAGTAAATGCAATTGACAATATTCGAGCCAAAGAGAGCTGCTTCAGATCGATCATGGGACTAGCACTAGAATGCACAGCTAATTTGTCCGAAGAGAGGCTGAATATGAAAGATGTTCTAACAAGGCTCAAGAAGATTAAAATAGAATCTTGTTAAAGAATATCTGAGGTGGAATAAGATGAAAGAGGTATGTTTCTTTGTCACAATTGATTTTTCCATCTAAAGATAACACAATAAGATGATTATTTTAAGCTTATTACATGTTCCTATTGCAAAAAACATGGAAATAATCTAAAGATTTTTAAGCTCTGTTTCGCTTCCGTTGTTGTGTTGTTGCCTAAAAACTGTACATAAAGTAATTTGTCTGATAAATAAATAATTTTATGGGAGTTATTGTAAAATAAGTTAAACGACATTTATGTATTTGCTTAATTTGCTATGAGATGTCGTAGCGAATGAAATCTCAATATTTTCATTAGGTAAGGATCGATATCATTAGCTTAAGATCATATCCCCTTCATTTTCCCTTGAAGTGGTAATTTAATACCAAGATTCAGCAGAATATTTTCGTATTAGACTTACACATAATTCAATCAATTATTTTTGCTACTCTTGTGAAAAGATCTTATACTTTCTCAGTTTCTTTCGTCGACCCTATTCATGAAAGTTTCTTCACAAATTCTGGAGGGATGGATATGGCTTTTTCTGAGCATTCAACTTCTCCATGTAGGATCAATATAACTTTTCCATGTAGGATCTTCAAACATGGTCGATTCAAAACAAAAATATACCTATCAGGTTATCTATAAATGTTCACAACTATCTAAGGCCTTTGTCTCTAAGGGCGGCGTAACATTTTGGCAATGAGAAAAGTATTCCAAGGATAGGAAAGTGAAAAGAAAATTAATATGCACTGCTTAGATTCAAGAAAAGTTCCTCATGTGTGGTTCTGGATGAAATGTTAGTTTTCGTCCTTTAATTTTGCTCTCAATTGGTATGCTCAAATGTGATTCAGTTGACGCCATTCTCAATTTATGCTGGATCACAATTCTTACAGAAGCAATATCTGTATATACGAAAATTACTACGTTGTTGAATATGAAACCTTAAAGAACTTGTCCCGGTATCATTTGTGAGCTATTATAAAGATCAACCAGTGACTCCCTCACCAACCAAAACATCAAATGTAGTGCTCCTCTACAGAATAACATCACGAAAGAACCATGGCAAGACAAAGGCTAGTACCAAGCATGCCATTAGAAAGTTGCATAGAGACTTCTTACATGGGCTACAACTTTCTCGAGAAGTGTCTAAAGTTGTTGATATCAGTCTCATCTCATTCCGCTCCATCATGAATATTGAGGTGTCTTCCAAATTGCTGGTTATGTTCACTGTCTTTCCACATATTTCACACAATCTGCAAGGCATGGCATGTTTAATTAAATCGAGACTTGAAACACGTGATTATAGATTAAATTTTTAGCGACGGGACATATATATTCGTGTATATTTTTCACCTTCAACGTGCCAACACTTGCAATTTTAATTTTTTTTAATAATAAACCAGACATGTCGAACTTTTATACATAAGTAATGTTAATCACAAATGCTGCTTAGCCATAAGGAGTAATGTGGGATTACTTAAGAAAGGACTTGAATTGAGTACACTTTTGTTTTCCTTTCATACTTTTAATCGCATGTTCCACATGTTGTAAGAATTTGTAGCATTCCATAACTTAATTTCAATTCATGAAATCTTACTTGTAAAGAAGGAATTCACAAGATTTTCAGGGTAGTCACTTGCATTCTCACGCTCCAAAAATCATCAAATTAACACACTCCAATAGTCTAGATCTCGAGCGCAATGAATGGAAATCATTATCCACAATCATTGTCAAGATATTGAATTCTGTAGCCAAAACTATTGTTATAGCCCCTTTGCATTTATTGTGCATTTTCATACACGAATTTTCACCATTTTCGATATTTCCATCTCTCCCCCTTCTATATAACATGTTAAGGAGAGTTATAGAGAGTGAAGGAAGGTTAAAGGGAAGTTATATATTTGAATTTCAACGTTAAACAATTTCTTCTAATCTATTCTTGCAGGTCGAGTCACCCACTCATTGGCAACCCACGACCCATTTTCAACACAATTTTTTATCATGGTTGTGAATAACATTACCTTAAAATGGGACAACAGTTGTAAAGCAGTCTTTTTAGAATGGTCTATATTTTTATGTTGCTCAAAACCACTTTTTTTCTTTTTACTTTTTATTGATTTTCTGGGAAAGATAAAAATAAAATAAAAAAAAGCCCTAGAAAGCCTTGTTATTACAAGACAGCCCCGTGCAAATAAGTTTCATGTCGTGTAATGCCATTTCAGCCAAGCCTTGATCCATTTCCTATCTCTCATCTAAAGGAGAAAACAGTCTAGAAAGTAGAAACTCGTGGCAGAAACTAAAAAGCTCCTGTTTTATCAAAAAAAAAAAATTATTGCCCTATTATATTATTATTGATCTAAAACCCACAAAAATTAAATAAGCACTTATTTTCATCTGGGGGAGGTAAATATCAAATATCATGAACTGTACCTGTTATCTCTCTGGCCAAACGAGGTCTCTGCACAATGTCTATGTGAAAACCCCAATTCTCCTTTGCAATCACAACCAAGTGAAATCACTTCTGAGTTACCAGATGAAGTTTTTTCATTACCAAAATGATAAATTCTGCAAACTTTTTCTGCTTTCAAATTTTCATCATTTCTTGATTTATCATTCATCTCCACCCCTTCATCTATTTCATGATCGAGCATTTCCTTCTCCATTTATCTTTAAAATGTTGGAATAATTAATAATTCTATATGTGGGCTCCACATTTGATTGCAAAATTTTACGGGTTAGATATATGGCTCATAATGATAATTGAGTTTGGGCTAAATTTATTAAGTGATCAATTGGGCCTTTTACACCTTACGGGTTGTAATTAATTTGATGTGGTAATTTAAAGCATGTGGGCCGAAAATAAACTCTAATTAGAATTCTAGTCGTAATGGGACGGCTCAATTATTTCCTATATAAAGGCTAGGTCCCCTCTCCTCTCCATATGTTTTATTGGCTTGCCCCATTAATAGCTAATACTTTTGTGAGGAGCAAGGAGGGGAAGATCTTGACCGCTATTATAACTATTATTCATATCAACAATGGCTTCCACAAGTATGAATTCGATTTATCAATTTATTATTTTGTGATTCTTGATTCTTAGCATGATTGAAATTAAATATTAACAATTGGTATCAGAACCTTCATGCTAAGACCGAAATCCTTCATAAAAAATAAAAAAAATAAAAAAAAGGGTGTCAACTTTTCACGTGGTGCTGTGCATGTGTATAATGTATATTGTATTCATTATAAATTAAAAACCTATGAAAGAACCAAATCCAAACCACATGCAGGTTAGGTCCATTTAATAGAAACAATTTTTCTAAATTTTTCCTCGTTTTCTCTACTGCCAGATTCCACCAGCCACCAAATTCTTTATTTTTCTCATTTTCTGACTCAATTGCCTGCTGGAAGTCTACCTTTTTAAAAATAAATAAATGCATTAATGTTATTCACGTGTGCATTCATTGTATAAACATATGAAAAAAAATCAAAACCCAAGTCGCGAAAACACCCTATTGCAGCCAAAACTGATTTCCTACTATAATGGATTTTAGATTTGATTTTGGCTGTGACAAGATCTAAAAATGACCACATGTTGCTCGTATATATAATTGTTCCATGGATGCGTATCTTCTTATTGCTGTGAAACATTATTGGTTTAAACATGCAAATTGTAAACGGAATCGTCGTTGGCACTGGTGGATCGAGGAAACTGCAGAATTGCTGTTTTTTGCGGCGACGACGGCAACCCTTTTGCTGCTGTTTCACGGCTTGGGGTGGAGGAATGTGTCGTTGTCCTAGCGGTGACTTCCAACGGTTACAGAAACGGGGATGGAGATGGGAGCTCAAATTGCAATTAGTTAAGTTTTGAGTCCCCGATTGCAATTAACATTTAAGGGCTTGTCTGCAATTAGAGAGTGGGGTCATATTTTAATTTTTAATATAATGACCTGCCATGCAATTTTGAATATTAAGGAACCTAGTTTTAATTTTAAATTTAGGGTTGAAATGTGATTTTCAAAGAGGGCTTTTATTTTGAACTTTTAAAAGTTTTTTTGACCCTAAAATTTCAATTGGTCCAATTAAAATTTTATTTAAACTTGACCCGATTAAAATCATATATTGAATAAATAATAAAATTAATTGACGACTTTTGTATTATTTTATTAAAATGTTATGTATTGCCATTATTTATGTATTAAATTTAATTTTGAAATTTTGTTGCCAATTTCGTCTCTAAATACTAATCACGTATGTATTTCTTGCCTTTCATCAATTAATGATCATGATTTGCTGCATAACTTCTGTGATTAAATTTTTAATGGGCATTGAGACGATTCTTATTTTCCCACTAAGAGAGAATTATTTTGAAATAGAAATGGGTGATAGCTGCCAAAGTGGCACACTTATTTTTATTTATTTGGTTTTCTCTACAATAAAAAATACATATATTTTTGCCCAACAACTTTTGATTTATTGCATATAATATCTTGCCCAAAGGTGTTATTATATGTAATATTTTTGAAAAATGGCATGAGACGGTTAACGGCTTATTTTGGTTTAGAAAATTCTTTTTGCCCAAAGGTATTGGAATTTCGAAAACCAATGTGAATTTGCTAACTAGCTATATGATGTGTTTTAAGAGTACCTTATAGCATGTTGTATTGTCGACCCAAAGGTGACTTTATGATGATGCATCTAGGCTCTTACCATAATAAAATTTATATGTTTCGATTTAAATTACGGATTATCTAATTAATAGCCCATATTAATTAGTTGGATATTTCATTATCCATTTGATTGCATGCATTAAGTTTGGATGATATTAAAAGTGATATTTTATGTTTCCACAATTTATAATGTCTCATCTCTTTCGAATCAATTGTCTGCTATTGAAACATTAACTGGGAATAACTATATGAGATGGAAACGAGACGTAGAAATAGCACTTGATCTTTTGGGCTTGGATTTTGCAATGGAGAAAAAGCTTGAAAAACTCACAGATAAGAGCACCGTTGAATATGTAGCCGAGCATGAAAAGTGGGAAAGGGCTAACAAACTCTGTTTGAAAATCATTAAGTGATCGATATCTGATTCCATTCTAGGTGCCATCCCTGATAATGAAAATGTCAAAAGTTTTATGGATGCCATAGGAGAAAAATTTGTTGAGTCTGATAAAGCTAAAACTGGGGATCTGATGGATAAATTGATGAGCATGAGATATGATGGTACAAATAGTGTTAGGGAGCATGTCATGAAAATGATAAATATATCATCTAAGCTAAAGGCTCTTGACATTTCCATTGCGGAGCCTTTCCTAGTCTATCATGTTTTGAATAGCCTTCCTAGCAAGTTTAATCAGCTTAAGGTTGCTTACAATGCTCAGCGGAATAAATGAAATTTGAATGACCTCATAGCAGTGTGTGCCCAAGAAGAGTATAGGATGCGCCGTGAAACTGTTGAAACTGTACAATTAGCTTTTCAGCCATCACAGAATAAGGGGCCTTCTCATAATCATAAACCTAAGTTTTGTAAGGGTAATAAGTCCCATTGAAGTCAGTAGAATAAAAATTTTAGTGGTCCCAAAGCAATTATAAAGAAAAATGATCAATGCAAGTTCTGTAAAAAGAAGGGTCACTGGCAGAAAGACTGTTTTAAGTTCAAGACTTGGTTGGAAAAGAAGAAGAGTTCTTCAGGTATTCCCTTGGCCTTAGTTTGTTTTGAGTCTTCTTTAGTAGATGTACCTTTGAATTCTTGGTGGTTAGACTCGAGAGCTAGTATTCATATTGCGAATTCCTTGCAGAGGTTCATAAGCAAACGGAGGCCAAGTGAGAATGAAGTAAGCTTGAGCGTTGCAAATGGATTCCAAGTGAAAGGTTGGATTCATAGGAGTAGTAAAGTTAACTTTAGAGTCTGGTTTTTATCTTGTTTTGGAAAATACAGTTTATGTACCGCAGATGAGACGAAATTTAATTTCTATACCAAAACTTGATGCTTGTGGTTTTATATTTAATTTTGGTAATGGAATGGTTAAGTTATTTAATGATTCTCGTTTGATTGGGAATGGCATTTTATGTGATGGTTTATATAAATTATCTTTGGCTTCTTTTGGTGATGTCTCGTGTGTTACAAATGTATCAAAGAAAAGGGCTTTAATTCGTGAATCATCCTCTATGTTGTGGCATAAGCGATTGGGTCATATTTCTAAGGATAGAATGGAAAGATTAGTAAAAGATGAGATACTTCCTTCCTTAGACTTCTCCGATTTTGACACCTGTATAGATTGTATAAGAGGAAAGTTAACTAAGTCTACGAGGAAGGGTTCGATTAGGAGTAATGGAATTTTGGACTTAATTCACACTGATATCAGTGGACCTTTGCTTTCCACTATATGTGGGAATACATATTTCATAACTTTCATTGATGATTTCTCACGATATGGATATGTTTATTTGATTAACGACAAATCACATGCACTTGAGAAATTCAAAGTTTTCAAACTGGAAGTAGAGAAACAATGTGGGAAAAATATCAAAGTTGTAAGATCTGACCGAGGTGGTGAGTACTATGGGAAATATGACGAGTATGGTCAAAATATGGGTGATTTTGCAAAATTTTTACAAGAGTATGGAATAGTGCCCCAATACACCATGCCAGGGACACCTGAGCAGAATGGTGTTTCTGAAAGACGTAATCGAACTCTAAAAGATATGGTTAGAAGTATGATGAGTAGAACAAATTTGCCTGAATATTTGTGGGGTGAAGCCTTGAAAACAACTATGTATATTTTGAACAGAATTCCAAGTAAAGCTGTTACAAAGACACTTTTTGAATTATGGACAGGACGTAAGCTAAGTATGGCTCACTTTAAAGTTTGGGGATGTCCAGCTGAGGTTAGGATTTATAATCCATTTGAAAAGAAATTAGACCCTAAATCAACTCCTGGCTACTTTATTGGGTATCCGGATAGATCAAAGGGATATAAATTTTACTGTCCAAATCGCGGCACTAGAATTGTGGAGTCCATTACTGCTAAGTTTTTGGAGAACGATTTTGGAGCTAGTGGGAGTTCCACATTGAGAGAAATTATTGTTGAACCTAATCAAGTTGTAGTTCCAGTTCCTGTCATATAGGAAAGAGTTAGTTCTCAACCAATTGAAGTTGTTAATGAAGAACCGAGGAATCAGGAGGAATCTCCAATTCCTTAAGCAACGATTGAATTGGTTCCTGAGCAACAAGGTAGGAGATCACAAAGGGAAAGAAGATCTGCATTGCCCAATGATTATATTGCATATTTATTGGAGATTGATTTTAATATTGGGCATATTGTTGATCCTGTAACTTATAACCAAGCATTGACAAGTTGCGATGTAGATAATTGGATAGATGCCATGGAAGATGAAATGAATTCCATGGAAAGGAATAAAGTTTGGGATCTTGTTGAACTTCCTCCAGATGCTAAGGCTGTAGATAACAAGTGGATTTTCAAAAGTAAATTAGATTCAAAAGGAAATGTTGAACGAAAGAAAGCAAGATTAGTTGCAAAAGGTTTCACTCAACGAGAGGGCATTGATTATGTTGAAACTTTCTCCCCTGTTTCATCGAAAAAATTCTTTTCAAATTATCATGGTTCTTGTGGCACACTACAATTTGGAGTTTCATCAAATGGATGTTAAGACAGCATTTTGAATGGAGATCTTTTTGAAATGGTTTATATGAAACAACCAGAAGATTTTGTTGTAAAAGGAAAAGAAAACTTAGTGTGTAAGTTAAACAAATCCTTATATGGTCTCAAACAAGCATCTCGATAGTGGTATTTGAAGTTTGATGAGATTGTGACATCTCTTGGTTTTGTTGAAAATACTATTGATCAATGCATTTATCTTAAAACCAGTGGAAGAAATTTTATTTTCCTCGTATTATATGTTGATGACATTCTACTTGCTAGCAGTAACTTAGGGTTGCTTCATGAAACAAAGAAAATGTTGTTTGCTAATTTTGAGATGAAAAATCTTGGAGAAGCTTCCTATGTACTTGGCATTGAAATACATCATGATAGAAATCGTGACTTATTGGGACTTTCTCAGAAAGCTTATATACGACGTGTTCTAGAAAGGTTTAATATGCAAAATTGTGCACCTGGTGATGTACCTATCATAAAAGGAGATAAGTTTAATAAAACTCAATGTTCAAGGAATGAGCTGGAAAGGAAATTTATGAAGATGATCCCATATGCTAGTGCTGCGGGAAGCTTGATGTATGCTCAAGTTTGCACTAGACAGGATATAGCCTACGCAGTAAGTATCCTTAGCAGATTTTAGTCTAATCCAGGACAAGAGCATTGGAAAGCAGCTAAGAAAGTTATGAGATATTTGAAGAAAACTGAAAGTTATATGCTTACATTCCAGCGTACAAATCATCTTGAGGTGGTAGGATATTCAGATTCTGATTTTGCTGGATGTCAAGATGATTTGAAATCAACCTCAGGTTATATTTTTACATTAGCTGATTGTGCCATTTCTTGGAAAAGTGTTAAACAGACTTTAGTGGCATCTTCTACTATGCAGGCTGAATTTGTGGCATGTTATGAGGCTACAGTCCAAGCCGTTTGGTTAAGAAATTTCATCTCTGGCGTGAAAGTTGTTGATTCCATCGCAAGACCGATCACCATCTACTATGATAACAGTGCAGCAGTATTCTTTTCAAAGAATAATAAAAGTTCTGGTAGATCAAAACATATTGACATCAAATAGTTGGTCGTCAGAGACAGGGTCAAAGAAAGGCAAACGAAAATAGAGTATATCAATACAGAGGTGATGGTTGCAGATCCCTTGACTAAGGGACTCACTCCAAAAGTCTTTAAGACACATGTTAGTAATATGGGTATTGTGGAAACATTTGATATTTTTGGTTAGTGGGAGTTATTTATGTAAAGAACTACGTTTTAGACTTGATCCCTTTATGGGGTACGTAGGCAACCCGTATGTTTTCGGGTACAATCCCTTCTGACAATAAAATAATTTTTCCCTATTCATGAACTATTTTAAGCATGCATTTGACTTATATCTTTTTATATTATTGATATCTTGAAATATGACGTATAAAGACATAAGATGAGTCTCTTTTGGAGACATGTGGCTTCATTTTGATTCGAAGCATTATGAGGACCGATATGAGTTAGCACAGTTTTTTATCACATTTGGTACTAAGTTCATACCACATACTACCACATTGGTTAGAGGATGGGGATCCATGTGGATAAGGATGTTGGCATTTGTAACTGTGGAATGGTTTTACATCACTTAATTGGTGTAATGACTTCCATGTTCGGTATTAATATTCTTGTTGGACCGGATTATGTTACGTGAGATGTCATCATTGGAGCTATACTTTTGTGGCCACCTATGTAGTCTAACCCGGGTGTTAAAACTTTGTTATGGCAATCAAATGTTTGCCCAAGTGGGAGAATGTTGGAATAATTAATAATTCCATATGTAGGCTTCACATTCGATTGCAAAATTTTATGGGTTAGATATATGGCTCATAATGATAATTGTGTTTGGGCCAAATTTATTAAGTGATCAATTGGGTCTTTTACACCATTCGGATTGTAATTAATTTGATGTGGTAATTTAAAGCATGTGGGCCGGAAATAAACCCTAATTAGAATTCTAGTCGTAATGGGATAGCTCAATTATTTCCTATATAAAGGCTAGGTCCCCTCTCCTCTCCATATGTTTTATTGGCTTGCCCCATTGATAGCTAATACTTTTGTGAGGAGCAAAGAGGGGAAGATCTTAACCGCTATTATAATTATTATTCATATCAACAATGACTTTCGCAGGTATGAATTCGATTTATCAATTTATTATTTTATGATTCTTGATTCTTAGCATGATTGAAATTAAATATTAACATAAAAATGTCACCAAATCCAAAGGTATCAAATTTGATACAAAGGTCAATATTGCTTGATGTAGGGATATTCCGTGGGATTTGAAAGTTGTTACCTGAGGTTTAATAAATAAAAACAAACGAAATAGATTAATAAATTCATGAAATAATAATAATAATAATAATAATAATAATAATAATAAAATTTACATATGATCACGTAACGTAGTTTGGAAGACTTGTACTAGAAAGGTGGAACAGTATAAGTTTATTGGTTGGTTTTTTTTTTCATTTTTCTTTTATTTTTGGTCTAACAATAAAGATTTTTTGGATGGTCCATAATTGAAACTGGGATAAGCTTATGGAGTCTCATAAAGGATAAGTATAAGACTTTGGACAAGAAAAAAAGAGATAAGGATTACATTTATTAATGATTTTAAGATTTTATTGCATCATTATTTCAAACATATATAGTAATGAGCTAATCTAAGAAAAATGTGCATGGTGAAAAGTAAACAAAGATCAGATAGCGTCTTTGGTAAGCAGATAGAGTATTTTAAAAGAAAGAGGAGTAGATTTAAATGTGAGGCATAAAAATATTTACGTAGTCGAACTCGGATTAATTAGGATAAAATTTATTTTTGTTGTTAAAGTAAAAAATTAAATTGTGAGACAAAACAATCAAAACTTTATATTGCTAGCATTTACTTGGCCGAGATCATTGTTAGGCATGCATGTCATTAATTAAGAATAGAAATTAAAGTCAATATATATAAAGACGATTAACAATAACAAATTACGACCTTCTAAAATTGAATTATGTTCTCATCGAATATAGTATTTTTTAATGTGCTTATTAGAATGACTATCTTATGAATTACTTAATTTCACTGTATGATAGTTGTTGTTATTCGTGAACTTGAGGTTCTTTAATTTGTAAATGAGTGAGGTGTGCCAAATTTTAAATTATTTATAAATTTTTCAAACCAAGGCCTAATTAATTAATTGATTGAGCTCATCCCAAGCTATTTATTATTAGATAGTAGATGTCGTACATGTGTTTTTTAGGTCCATACTAGTTATTGATTTAAAAATTCGATTGGGGTCCATAAATAACGATTGACTCAACCTTTTGGCTCGTGTAGACTCAACCTGGCTCACGGGTCAACTTGTGTATTTATTTTAAGAAATTAACAAAATAAGCCAAATAAAGAGCCAACCACAAGTTCAAGACGAGGGCCTCACAAGTCAAGCCCACTTAGATCGTGGAAACAAATTGAGCTCGACTCGCCCATGAATCATTTCAATATATACGAGTCCAAGCTGCTCATGAATCGATGAAGAATGAGCCGAACCCACAAGAAATTTGCCATTCCACTTGAATTTAAAAAATATGTGAGCTAGGCTCAAAATTAATAACTAACTGACTAGAACCGTCAAATTTCCCTTTCTACCACACTTGAATTAAAAGTCAAAATTCAAGATCCCAAACACAACAATAACTTATTAGAGAACAAAAAAATGTCACGACCTCATCCTCTTGACATAAAAAAAAAAAAAGAAAGAAAAAAAAACCTTCAAACTCGATACTCGCGAGGCCCCTCCACAAGCTAGTTGAGGATAACCAGCTTAATAGGGTATTCGGGTCGGGACGAGATGGACAGGGGACTTCGCCCCTTGAGCGTGTACTGGTAACAAGAGCCCCGTCCCAGCCCCGCACTGTTTTAACTCTTTTTTCTTTTTTTAAGAATTCAATATTTTAAATGAAAAATTCCGCTAAATTTCATTAGTTCTAATAAAATATGGCGACTAAAATTATCTAAAAATATGACAAACAATAAAAGTCTCAGTTTACCAAATATATTTGAATAATTTAAATTTTAAAAATAAATAAATTAATTAAAAATTTAATTAATAAATTATCATCTCACTTTAATGAATAATGACAATAAAATGAATTTTTAAAAAAAGAAAAAAAAATTAAACAGGTATTGATCGGGGCAAGGGTGAGGCCACCACATCGCCTTAAACGGGTAACGGGGCGAAAAATTAGAAAGTGATGGAGGGTGCCCTGACCCCGACCCGTCATTGTCATTCCTACCATCTTCGAACCCAAACCTCTTTCACATCACCTTGCCCTGAATGAGACGGATTATTTCCCATCTCAGCAAGTTATTTGAGATGGGAATGGAAAACATGGTCTCCGAGCCCACTTATAAAATCTTCCAAGGCGGCAGAACGAGAGTGCTGCTGCTGCCCGGCCCCACCTTGCCGCAATAACTCACGAGCCTGAGGCCAAATCTGTAAATTCAACCAAGGGCAAAACTCTTACAAAACATCAGCATTTTGGCCCTTTTTACAACACCCATCCATTACGCTTCTCGAGGCTTAAAAATCGTTTAAATAATCGCTTAATACTTCATTCATAAATTTTACTCACATTTCACGCACAAAACTCTCTCGCATAGTCGCATACACACCTTATCGATTCTTCTGTTCTCCTCTCCAATGGCGATGATACTTCGCAATGGTTGTGCGGGTCGGATAGTCAAATCCGGAGCTATTCGATCCATGTCCACTTCGTGGTGGAAGCACGTGGAGCCAGCTCCCAAGGATCCGATCCTTGGAGTCACCGAAGCTTTTCTTGCTGATCCTAGTCCTGATAAAGTCAATGTTGGAGTTGTGAGTATAAGAGTTTTTTCGTTTTTGCTAGCAAGTGGTAGATTATAATTGATTTTAATCCACTTTGTTCGGTGAAATTTGAAGTGATTTGAATTAATTAATCTTGTTTTACGAGCTCGGATTTTGTAATTTTTGTCTATTAAAAATATGTAAATTCATTTTATTTTTTTATTTTTTTTGTGTAAAAGGGTGCATATCGTGATGATAATGGAAAGCCGGTGGTACTGGAGTGCGTCAGGGAAGCGGAGCGGAGAATCTCCGGTAATGTGAACATGTGAGTATTCTTTTGTTTTCTACTTATTTTTTATTGTGAAAAAAAAAAGGAAAAAAAAATCATTTCTTTGTAGTTCGTTCCCTTTCTTCTACTAATTTACAGTTGGTAACCGCCATCTGAAATTGCTTGGTCGGCAGCCAAACCTTAATCATTTACCACTATGCCACGTAAGGAAAGTTCGAAACTCAAGACTATGCCTAACTAAATAATGTATGTTTTGTATTTCCATGTAATCGCTGCTTAGTTGGCACGGTGATCGTTTCTTATTTTGGCATCCGCTACCATGGGGCTGTCAACTAAGCAATATTAGTAAGTTCTGAGGAAGGAAGGTGATGGAGTGGTGAACCAGAAATTAAATCGAGGATCAATTGACCCATTGTGACAAACTAAAGTTGAGTAACTTAATTGAGATTTTACTAAAGGTTAAATGAGAGTGAACGAAATTTAACCGTCATATATCGTAGTCATAGGTAGAGATGTATTCAATGTGTATTAGGAAAATGGACCTCTATGTGGGTATCTCTATGCATTCTGATTGTAACTTGCAGCTGTAGTGGTGGTCCTATGTTGTTAACTTTTGATCCAAGATCGTTTCCACTAGCCATTTTGATCCTTCCACTTTTGTCAGTGTATTAGATTCCTGGATGGTTTCTTTCTTCTTTTTTCCCCCCAAAGCAAGTAGCATATTTCATCAGCAAACTCGTTATATCACACCTTTGTTCCATCAGGAAAAAGTAACAAAGAATTTGTTGTAGATAAATGATTTGAAAAATTATTCTATACATATATCAATTGTGTGCTTAAGTGTGGATACTAAGTTATATTTGACAGAACTAGTTAAAGTTGAACGTGCATTGCACGTTATTCTAAAATACTTTATAAGTGATGTAAAAGTAATATTTAATACCAATTTGTAGTAGGATTTGATGAGTCTCGTATGAATTAAAGAAAATAAAATTTAGCATAGAAATTTAAGAGAAGAAAATTGTAGTCAAATTGTATTCTCAAAACTCAATTTCTACGATTCAAATTTTTTGTAATGATGATACTATAAATAAGCAATTTTTTTATATTACATTTGGTACATAAAAATTAATTGTTAATACATAAATTTAAACACTCATTAAAATTTTCAGATACATGAATATGAATAAATTCATCTATAATAACTTTAGATTCATATAATTCAAGACTATCAAGTGAAAATTCATTAAATCTAGGTTAATGTGAATATTAATTAATTGAGAATTAATAACACAAATTTCATAAATGACAATAATTTTGTAGTATTTATTACATATCGAAAAACGAAAAATAAGATATTATTGAAATAATTGAATTGTAAGGGGTTAAAATCGTCCAAAAAATTATTCTCCCTTGATGTGATATTTTAATAAATTATAAATATTTTCAGGAAACTATTAGAAGTGAAAATTAGATCTGATTTGACTTATTTTGTTAAGACATGATTCATCATAATACCATGTCCAGTTTGAAGGTCTGATGCATATATATTAGAGGTGCGAACTAGTTTGATCATAAGACTTTAGGGAAAGTTTTCTAGGTAAATAATGTGTAGATCACTTGCAGTGTCAAACAAATGTTTGCTTATCATGTGTTGGCAATGATGTCTTGCTCTGACTGTGATAGCTGATTTATTTGCTTAGGGGATCTCCATGGACAAATGACTCTTAGTTTCAGTGTTTATCATGTTAGCATAGATGATATTTTATTGTCATTTAAAGAAGACTGTCGGTATCCAATAAAAGAAAATTAAAAAATAAAATCAAGATGTGGAAAATTTGCATGGCTATAGGAATATTTGTGGTTACACTGCAATCAGAAATAGTTGCATGATTTAAAATTTACGATAGACAATTTACTCAATGAAAAGGGATAAACAGAGATGGAAATCTAAGTTGCTTTTATCATCTTTCCGTATTTGGTAACAGTTTAATGGTTTCCCATATGAGGCCTTCTCTTGAAAAGTTTCCAGGGGAATAGGTTTTACTGCAATAACTTTAGTTCAGGGAGAGAGCATCATTAGTTTCACTCTGTGAAGCTACATCATTTGTTTGTAACATTGCTATTTTTGATGTTTTCCATGTACATATTCTCTAGTTATTCATTAAAGCAATGAAGCAAATCAGACAGGTGCCGTTAACACAATTTTCGTTCAATTGTAAATAGACTTAGCAAGACTTGATTTTCCAGGGAATATCTTCCCATGGGGGGAAGTGTAAATATGGTCGAGGAGACTCTGAAGCTGGCGTATGGAGAGAACTCTGACTTGATCAAAGAGAAGCGGATTGCAGGTGTACAGGCTCTCTCTGGGACTGGTGCATGCCGGCTCTTTGCAGATTTCCAAAAGCGTTTTTCCCCTGATTCACAAATCTACATTCCAGTTCCCACCTGGGCAAAGTTAGTATTGCTTTTCAATCTGTGTCTTTCACATCTGCTGTGTGCTTCATGTTTTATTTTGTTATAAACTGACATTTTCGCAACGTTCTTCCATTGGTTACGTGTCATGATTTTATTTTTTTATTGCATCAAATTACTGTTTCTGTCAAGTATTCATGATTTTATTGTGGGATTTCATCAGTCATCACAACATTTGGAGAGATGCTCATGTTCCTCAGAACACATTCCATTATTATCATCCAGAGTCTCGGGGTTTGGACTTTGCTTCAATGATGGAGGACATAAAGGTAAGAAAGCTCGATGATGACCTAAATGTTTTTTTTAATTGCAAGTAGCAATATTTTATGCCTACTGTGTGAGTGTTCTTCTAATTTTTATTGGAACAGAATGCACCAAATGGGTCATTCTTTTTGCTTCATGCTTGTGCTCACAATCCAACTGGAGTGGATCCTACAGAAGAACAGTGGCGAGAGATCTCACAACAGTTCAAGGTTTGCATTCTGTGATGGAGATGCCTGTTACTTTTTAAATTATTGTTCAAAGAATAATAGAGATACATATTATTTCAGGTCAAGGGGCACTTTGCCTTCTTCGATATGGCATATCAAGGTTTTGCTAGTGGTGATCCGGAGAGGGATGCAAAGTCTATTAGAATTTTTCTGGAGGATGGCCATTTAATTGGATGTGCCCAATCATATGCGAAGAATATGGGAGTTTATGGCCAGAGAGTGGGTTGCCTGAGGTACTTGTAACTATGTACTGAACACTTAACCAAGAATCTTTGATATTTTCATCTCTGTTCTACTTAATGACATATACCCAACTGCATATATTCATGACTTTGTGTCTCTGTTCTGTACCGGAGTAATATTAATTCTTAGCTAGGACCCGTCTGCAATCTGCTTCAAAAAAACAGACAACCTTTCTTGATCTGGAATTTTTGTTGAAAGCCAGGCCATTTCATGCAATAGCATGGTGAAAAAGCATGCACGAAATCAGAAAGTACACTAAGTTGAAATACCATAGATGAAAAATGTTTCATTCTACCAGTGTGCCACCACCCTAAGCGCTGTTGTAATTGACTTTCTGTGAGTCTTATGACAAGCCTCTAACAAATTCTTATCAGGGACTACTTGCTACTGCTTTTCATCCAGTTGCATAGCGCATTAATTTGATATTTAGAACTGGCAATTAAATGCAATCATTAAGAGTTCATTTTTCCTTTGGCTCACATTCAGGTGCAAGTTTGTTCAATGTTGTGAATATTAACAACCTAAAAGTCGCTATGTAAGAAACGACAACTATCGTTCTTGTGTGCATTTTCATATATACATTCATTTCTATTTCTTGTTTGCTTCCTCTTCCATTAAACAATATTG